AAAACTTATGAGACATAGACAGAAAGAGATGAAAAGAACTAGGACTAAGGGACAGTTGGAGGACACAGCTTCTCTCTCCATTAGGAAGCAGAAGTAAAAATAAGAGAGTAGTCTACACTTTGGTTTATGTCAACCAGTGTCAACCAGTTGGTTTTAATTTCTTATTTATTTTTTCTTTATTTTTTAAAAATGTTTATTTACTTATTTTGAGAGAGAGAGAAAGCACACGCAAACTGGGGAGGGGCTGAGAGAGAGAGAGAGGAGAGAGGGAATCCTATACAGGTTCTGTGCTGTCAGTGTGGAGCCTGAAACGGGGCTTGATCCCATGAACCATGAGATCATGACCTGAGCTGAAGTCAGGAGTCGGACACTTAACTGACTGAGCCACAAAGGCACCCCTAATTTCTTATTTAATAATTCTTGGATTAAAATGACAGTACTTATTTATATAAACCAACACTCAACTTGCCGTAAGAATACATTAGTTCCTAGCATCTAAAAACCTTTTAAATAATTGTTTCAGTATCCCCTTATTCATTTCCAGGCTAAGACATAGTCCTGGATTGTTTTTGTTCCCTTTTGCATACAGAGTAGAATGAAACCTGCTTCTCCTCAAATAGCTCACAGTCTGGTGGGAGAGAGGCAAGTAAACAGAACATTACTATGTATTGTGATATATCCTTTAACTATAATAACAACAACTAGATTTTTGTTGTTCTCATGTATCAGCATTGAGCTAAATGCTTCCAATATATTATTTCTCTCTCACAACCTTATATATGGAAACAACATTTTTAATCCCTGTTTTGCAGATAAGGAAACTGAGGCTAAAAACTAATAATCGGAGGTTCCACAGCAAATATGAGGCAGAGCAGTGCTTCAAATTGGAGCAGAGATAGGGAGTAGAAGATATTTAATCAAAGCCAAGCCTTTATTTCTAGGCATCAGATCTGTAGTCTGCCTGATAAACTATGCAATAGACAGTTTACTAATGTGGGAACCCATTTTCCCTTCTTTGACTTATTTTTCATCTTCATGATGAAACAGTGTTTTCTGCATGGCTGCCCTTAGCTTTTAGAAAGTTCCCTCCCTACCCTCCCTCTCTAACAGTCATTTTGATTCATTGTAGCCGAACATCTTGTTCCCACCATGCACCATGTTTAGACAGTTTATCTGGCAAGGTGCGTGGAATTTTATTTATAAAATCAAATTCTGTTGTTTTCCTTTCAGTTGCTGCTTCTTCTCTTTTCACTCAGAAAAAGCAAACTGTTTAGGAAGGGATGTTAATCTCCACTCAGAGGAGGTACAGGACTGTGTGCCACGCTGGGGACAGAAGCTCTCATAGGAATGACACTAATCTGTTTTTGAGGCTCACTGGAGATCACTGCCCTTTTTCCCTAGGGAAGCTGAGCAGTTTTATCCCTGCAGTGCTTTCAGCAGCATGGAAATATGTGACCTAAAACTTAACACTTCATCATTCCCAGCTTCCTTATTCACATTTAGTATAATTGCTGAATCCCTTCTAACTGCGCACCAGAGGGAATCCTCAAGTGGCTAGAGAGTTGACGCGTCTAAGCTGAGAAGAAAATGCAAGGAAAAATCCCAGCAGTCTTCTTTCTCCTCCCAGTGGCTGCTGCAACTGAGAATGTGCTAATTCTTTGACTTTCAGTGCCCTGTAGCTTTTTGTTTTGCTTATTCATTGGAGAAGGTAAGCTTCACTCTTCTTTCTAGTATGTAGCCTTGCTGACACGAAAATGTGTAAAATTCTTAGCACATCCTAAATTGCTCTGATATTCTCTGCCACTGTGGAACTTTGGCAAAGTATGACTTGTGCATCTCGGAAACAGAGAAGCAAGGGAGCACTGGAATACTGACTTCTGGGGGTCCTATATCTTTGCTCTGAGCTACAGGACTTCAGGGGAGAATATATGCTTCAGGGGAGCATATACCAGTACAATTTGAATGAAGAGTGTTGAGTTAATTAAAAACTAAGTTAAATTTGGGAATAATCTTAAAAGTGTGCTTCTATATGTTAATCAATTTTGTTTTAATTTTAAGTATAAAACTATATATTCATTTACACATTATTGAAAATGTAGGGCCAGAGTCTGGAATTCTGAGTCAGTGGTTCTTTTTTAGAACTCTCCCATAATTAAATGCATCAAAGTTCTACCTTCTGTTTTGTTTTTGTTTTTGTTTTGCGTTTTGTTTTCACTAGAGCAAATAAGACACCTGCAAAGCAACGTAAGTTAAAATCTTCTAATGTTTTATTATTTTTCTAGTCTTTTGGAGTAATTGTAACAAACATAACTCTAAAGCATTTTTTTAGTGATTTGCTTTTATTGAGCAAACCTAATATTTAAATTAGGTTTTATCAAAAACAAAACAGAACAAAACAAATGGCTCTTTTCCCACTAATACTTAACTTATTTACATAACATTATAAATCTTATCAGAACAATAACAGAACAGGCATAAATGGTTTGGGGACCCAACACTACTGACGTTTAGTAAGTAACTCAATTGGCAGAGACAGTAGCATACAAATGTATTTAATGCATTTAGTAGCCTCTGGGCATACACGCGCATGCGCGCGCGCGCACACACACACACACATAAACTTATATATTTTAAGTTCATTTATTTTGAGAGAGAAAGAGAGAGCACACACAAGCAGGGGAAGGGCAGAGAGAGGGAGAGAAATAATCCCAAACAGTCTCTGCACTGTCCGCATAGAGCCCGATGCAGGGCTCAAACTCATGAACCATAAGATCACGACCTGAGCCAAAATCAGGAGTCTGGCACTTAAACTGAGCCCCGCAGGTGTGGCAATCAATATACTTCAAAGAAGGAGTGTGTTAAGTTTGTTAAAGGAGAAATCCGTGAAGAATACTTCTACTATAGTTATAATTCTATAAAGTTGATATACATTAAATTTGAAAAAAAAAAAAACAAGATTTTCAGATTCTATCGTCTGTATTGGGAAAATGAGAATTGCTGTGATTATCTCAGTACTACTGTCACACTTCTTAAAAGTAAAACCTTTATTAATGATTGCTTCCGTTAACAGAATGTTTCTTTCTGAAACATGAGGGTGTATATCCTGCTATGCTAGAGGTTTGTCTTTCAGATATCAACGTGCATGGGACAAATGGGGAGGTTGTTTGGATGTAGATCCATGGGCCTGGTTCTCAAATATTTTGATTCTCTGTGCAGCCAGGAATTTTTTTTTTTTTTTCAGCCAGAGCTCCAGTGATCATGATTCAGTGGGCACTTTAAACAACAAGAATTATGTTGTTTTTGTTTGTTTGTTTTTTGTTTATTTTGTTTGTTTTGTTTTTAAATGCTCAGAAGTGTTTTGTCAGTGCAGTACGAGCTAAGGCACAGCATGTTGTCTCCAGGAGCTTCAGGGGCAGGAGGATACCAGAGAAGCAAGCCCTCTTCGGAGCTGGGCATACAGGCTCCCTTTTGGCCTGGGTGCTGGGCTTCAGACCCTAGCCCCAGAAGAGCCAAGGCTGTGTTGAAGAGGTTGATGTGAGTGGAGCTGACCGTGATGAGTGTTGATTTCAGGCCCAGGCTCTGGAGCAGTTTTACCTGCATCTCTGGCCCAGCCACAACAAGGTCCCTGATGGTGCCGGGGCCCAGGGCCGCTGTAAACTGCTTGAACTTCACCTCGATTCAGCTGTCTGCTGGGCCTTGCTCACCTCCAGCTCCAGCTGGGCCCAGGGACAGACCAGTTCTAGCTCTCGCACTTCCTGTACCCACTGGAGCTCCACCTTCATCTCAATGGCGAAAGCCTCTCCTTTCAACTTGGCCTGCAGCACAGAGCTTTCTTCCTGGATGTGCAGGGTCTCTGCATGGGGCTCAGCCCTCGCCTTGGTAGTTCCACTGCTTTCCACAGCAGTGCTCAGAGCCTCCACTCCAAGAATTATGTTTAATTACTTCTCTGAATGTCATTATTAAATGCTATAGTGTTTTCCTCCCTCCTTCCCTCCCTTCTTCAAACTTCAATAAAGCATATGGAGTACTGGGTGTATGCTAACACTCTGTAGTCTTTGAGGCTTCACAGATATAGCACAGCTTCTGTCCTCAAGGAGCTCACGGTTTGGTCAGTAAGACAAACATGCAGTTCAAGAATTACATTAAACTTCAAGCGTTGCCAAAGAATACTTTTTGAGGATTCGAAAACTGAATATCCTAATCTAGAATGTCAGTAGTTTCACATCACCAACATTGAGAGTTGGCTTTCCTTGGGGGACCACTTCTTTTTTTTAACCCACAAAGAAACTATTTTTGAACATTTAACAACCGTGACTGGAATTGCCCTAACGAAAATAAGAGCCATGTTAAGATTCAGGTGCAAAGCAGCCAGCTAGGCTCACTCACTAGCTCTTACATGTCAACCTTCTGCCTCAAAACCCAAATCCATAACGAGAGAGCATTTAAATGATTCCAGTCCTGGGTTTACAGGTTTGCTTATTAACATTTAAAAATGAAAATGTTAAAGCTAGAAAAGTCAAAGGTCTAGTAATATAAGTTATTATCTGAGTATAATTTGACTCCTGAAAAATAATAACAGCAACAACAGAAACAATAATAATATTGTTAAATATCTTGTCCAAGAATATCCTGATAGTATTCATTGAAAACGTTTGAATTATGTTCAAAATGTTCCATTAACTAGTATTTTAGAAACATTTCCAAAAGCAGTCTGTGACTGAGAAGTGTTTACTGGTGAAACCTATTAACCAGATGCATTTAATCTGAAATCATCTGACCTATACAGATTTGAATATCAGCCTTTACTGTAATAAGAATTAGACATAAGGCTCAATGGAGAGAAATGTAGCAGAAAAGTATTGAGTCACTAATTGGAAAAAAGTGTGAAAAATGTCTTTCCCTTTAAAGAAAGTTTTATTATTATTTAGAATATAGTTAACACTGAACATGATAAGAGGTTTTGTCTGAGGTAACCACTGCATCTCTGTCTTCTTTTGTAGGGGTTTGGAAATCCCTCTGGTGAATACTGGCTGGGGAATGAGTTTATTTTTGCCATAACCAGTCAGAGGCAGTACACACTAAGAATCGAGCTAATGGACTGGGAAGGAAACCGAGCCTATTCACAATACGACCGATTCCACATAGGAAATGAAAAGCAAAACTACAGGTAAGTCCTCCTTTGACTTAGGGCCCAACTGTCCTGGGCCTCGCCACTGACTAGTTTCAGGGGAAAGATGTGAAAGACAGAGTGATGAGAGCCATCCTTCAGAATGAGAATTAGGTCGTCTAGGCCTTTGGTAGGGATACAAAAATCTCAGTAAAGGCTTCTTAAAAGCTTTAAATTTGAATTTTCACAGACTATTTTGATGTTGGCTCAGATACTAGAGGATGAAGAATTAAGTCAAGCACAATAGTGTTGTTGTGGTTTTTATTGCTGTTATTGTGGTGAAATAGGTGCAGTGAATTCATACCTATAAAACTGATGGCAGAGAATTGACTCAAACTCAGTGGCTTGGAATAAGTACTCCTTTCTATGATTTTCTACTTACATTTTATTCACCTTTCTTAAATTGTTATTTTTTCACATTATTTTGAAAGTGACAAAGAGGAGGTATAAGTTTATGTTTTTATATGACTTATGTAAAAGATAAGGTGAGGCATAATTTAGAATTTTTTGGAAAATAATGTAAAGGCAAGAATAAATTCAAATAATGGCATCAATGTACACAATACATCATTGTAGATGTACAAATTGACAAATTCTACACTTTCTTGTTAACATCCTGATTTTTTTTTTCAGCAGCTTGTACGCTGTCCAAAAAAAAAAAAAAAAAAAAAAAAAAAAAAAAAAAAAAAATTAAAAGATGGCTAAGCAAGTAATGCAGGATGATAAATTCATTCCCCAAACCCTTATTGTGTTACTTCTCTCTAGGAACCCTACCAGGCACTGGTAATTTTGCAGTCAGTGATAAGGTCTCTAGTCTCCTAGACCTCACAGTCCAGCTTTGTAACTAGCTAGGTCACTAAATAACTGGCTGGCATTCCTTGACAACAGGGAACATATTTCCATTACTTTTATATCACTACCTATTAATGCAATACTTAGCAAATATAAACCCTTAATAATTGCGTGTGACAGTTTCATAATCAGCAAATTAGTGATGCAGTGATTTTTAACTCTCCATATTGTAGCTACTCTACCTCAGTCTTGGAAATGTGATTGTGTGCATTAAAGGATTGGCACATAGCTTCAAGCAAAATGCAGTGATAGCAACTAAAGCCTTGTGCTGTTTTTCCAGCCTGTGTGGCCCTCTTATAGTTCCACGGTTTCTGCTGCTTGTGTCTTTTTGAGACATGCTATTCTTTAAGGGTTTGAATCCACAACATTTTCATGAACATATCTCATTTTATTTTAATGGGTTATGTAGGGGATTGGATCCTTAGAGACATAAGGATCATTTTTTTAAACAAACAGTGATGATGTCACAACAGTGGGATAAGAAATAGATCTAAAGAGTTTTCATCATCTCATGGGAGGGTAGTGAGGGTGTACCTACTGACAACTCAAGAAACCAAAGAAGAGACATTTATAAAATGCAATGGAGTGTAAGAAGATGTGTTTCCAAGGAGGTCAATATTTGGGGAGTTTTATAACAAGAGAAACCACTGTAAAACATCAGGGGTACTCTTATGTAAATGTTTTGACCTGAAACTTGAAACTATATGGAACTTGGCTAATGTCAGACAGCTTGACAATAGGACTAGCAAATAATTAGTCTAGTCTTTTTCTAGGCTCCTGGAGAATTTGCTTTGGTTCCTTTCCAAAATGTCTCTCAGTTCTTTGTAGGTGTGTGTGTGTGTGTGTGTGTGTGTGTGTATGTGTGTGTGTGTGTGTGTGTTTGCATGCATACACATGTGCTTGTGAGGCTGGGGTGGTGTTAAGACAAAGAGTGCATGGACAGGTTTAGGAAGATTGTCAGAAACCAAAGTAGGCTTCAGGGTGCATGGTATGAATGTCATTCTGGCATCTGTGTGAGGAAGGAGCACTTACTTCCTCTTAGAATGCCCCACTGCCCTCATTGATCATTTCCTGTCCCTATGATGTATGATTCTGATCTTCACCCATATGATGCAGATTTATGATTGAAAAGCAAGTCTTCCCAGATAGAGTGAGGCATGCACTCTGGGATCCCCATTTTTCTTTCTTGAGAGAATTGTGAACCTTGATAGGCATGCTGCTGTAGTAAAGTTGGTGGCTCTGGCCCTCTCTCTCGGCAGGACCCAGCAGAAAATAAGTCTGTAACCATCACCTTCTCATGCAGTTGAGTATGATTCATATTGGCATCAAATGGGAAATTAGAATTCATTAAAACATAATGCCTTTTCTGATGAAAGCTTGCTTAAAATAAGCACACTATGAAATGGTCCTATTTACTCTTTCGAAGAAAATCAGACAGAAGCCTGAAAAGGGAGTACACCCTTGTGACTCCCCTCCCCACCTGTGTCATCACTCACTCAAGTCCAATAACACCAGGTGTGGCCTGAAGTTAGAGCCCAGAAGTCCGACTTTGCCTGTGCTTCTCATCCACTTATTTCTCTTTCTTCTGAATTAAGAAGGAATTTCTTAATTTCAGTGATAATTCATTAAAAGGATTAACACTAGCATTTGTGTAGTGTTTTATAATTTATGAAATGGTTTTTAACACTTTA